GCTCAGTTGGTTAAGCGACTGCCTTCGGCTCAGGTCATGATCCTGGAGTCCCGGGATCGAGTCCCACATAGGGCTCCCTGCTCGGTGGGGAGTCTGCTTCTCCCTCTGACCCTCCTCCCTCTCGTGCTCTCTCTCATTCTCTCTCTCGCAAAAAAAAAAAAAAGAATCGATTCACACTGTGGGTTATGTTTGCGTTTCACGGACCGGAAGCCTCTGTCTTTTGCGCATGGTACTAGTTTTACTAACTCTCATAAATGGGGCACATGGCGCGCGGTGCTGTGCACACTCCCCCCACCCCCCCGGCCGCCCCCCCCAGACTCCATCACAGCCCTGCAGGCTGCCCATCAGCACCACTTTTAGAGAGACAGGAAGTCCTGCATCCGAAAGGCTAAGGGACTTCTTCAGGTCACACAGCCGGTAGGCTGAGCATTTATGATGCCAAAGCACAGCTCTTGCTGGTACAGACAGACGCCTGCGGTATGGACCTGGGGCAGGAGGGCAAACAGGGCAGTTTCCCAAGCCACCTGCATCTCACTCAAGCCTGAGGCAAGGCCATCAGGCTTACTCCCCCTGCTTTGTCTGCCCCCCAGGTCAGCCGGCTGATCTGCTTGTCTGCTCTGCCTGCATAAATCACATCTTTATTCTCTCTCAAGAAATGGGAGGTGTTTTGCCCTGGAGATTCCTGGGTATTGAATCCTCCATGGCTCAAACTCCTTTTACTTTTCCGAGTCCCACACTTCTACTCTTTAGCAGGCCATCTCCTTGAGCCTGGCCCTGTGTTCAAGGGTTCAAGGTGCCTTCGCTCAGACAGAGGCCAGGCTGGTGTGGCTTGGACCAGATCCAGCCTCCTTATGTCCAGCGGGACAGACATCCTAAGGGCCAAGAATACGTGAAAGGTGTTCAAGGCCACGAACTGGATGCGGAATTCACATACTGAGTAGACGGAGAGGACTTCGGGCAGCTGTCACGGTCTGTCCACGTGGTTCCCACGGGTGCTGCGTGCGGGCAGATTTGAAAAAGCAAGCCAGAGGAGTGGGGGGGGCCCTGCGGGACCCAGGCCTCCTAGAGCAGAGTGGCCTTTGGAGAGGAGGCATGAAAGCAGCAGAAATGGACACAAGTGCACCCGAGTCTTGAGGGACAGGCCCCCTCTGCGGATGGGCGCGTTTGTGTCTTGAGAGGGGCCTCGCACCGATGCCCAGAAGGGGGAGTCAGGCCAGTAACTAGTGGCTACACCAGGTTTCTGGGGCGCCTAGGTGGCTCGGTCGTTATGCGTCTCCCTTTGGCTCAGATCATGATCTCGGGGTCCTGGGATCGAGCCCCACATCGGGCTCCCTGCTCCATGGGGAGTCTGCGTCTCCTTCTCCTGCCCGCTCATGCTCTCCAATAAATAAATCTTAAATAATAATAATAATCAATAAACTGGGTTTCTGTGTTCACTCTGGTTAGGAAGCTCAGGTTTTTCCCATAAACTTACAGCACAAAGCACAGTGGAGCAGTAGGGTGTAAACAGTGCAGGAGCAATGGTGGACTCTGCCGGGTAGGAGGCGGAGGTGGGGGACGTGGAGAGGCTGCCGTTCTCCTCTTTCGGAAGATAGTGCTCGAGGTTGATAAACCAAGATTTGAAGTGGGGGTTTTTGGTTTGTTTGTTTTCGTTAAAATCCTTAAATGAAATGGTCAGAATAGATAAAGGCAGGAGATCAGTGGTTGCCAGGCCTCTGGGGAATGGTGAGATGAGGAGGGACAGTGAAGGCATGCAGCGTTTCTTTCTGGGGGACGTGCTAAGCCCAACTCTGAGTGTTCTGAAGACCAGTGAAGCATACACTTTAAATGGGTGACTGGATGGTACGTGAATTATATCTCAATAAAACTGATAACTTTTTTTTTTTTTTAAAGATTTTATTTATTTATTAGAGACCGAGCACACGCAGAGGGAGCGGCAGGCAGAGGGAGAAGCAGACTGTCTCCCTGTTAAGCAAGGAGCCCGATGCGGGGCTCGATCCCAGGACCCTGGGATCATGACCTGAGCTGAAGGCAGACGCTTAAGGACTGAGCCACCCAGGCACCTCTCAAACTGGTACTTCTAAAAACTGGTTAGAACAGATGTGGAAGGGACGCCTGGGTGGCTCAGTCGGTTAAGTGTCTGCCTTCGGCTCAGGTCATGATCCCGGGGCCCTGGGATCAAGTCCCGCATTGTGCTCTCTGCTCAGAAGGGAGCCTGCTTCTCCCTCTGCTCCCCCCACCCCCCGTTTGTGCTCTCTCTCTCTGGCAAATAAATAAATAAAGTCTTAAAAAAAAAAAAAAGAACAGATGTGGAAGATACATCCCCCAGTGAGGGTGGTTGATGCGTGAAAAACCAACCCCTACAAGGGAGCACCGCACAGGGGGCGCAGGCGCAGCGCCCCCCGCCCCGGGTCGTGCCTCACACCAATTCTCTGGGGAGGTTGCAGAGAAGTCTGTGCTTGATACCAGTGGGAAGGGTTTTCTGGGGGTTTTTTTGTTGTTGTTTGTTTTGTTTTTTTTTAATTTGGGAACTGTTCTCTTTCACAGGCCATGATAATTTATGTGACTCTTCATGTTTCCATTTTTGCCTCATGTGCCAGGAATATCAGCTACAAAAGGAAGTCACAAGAATCAGATGAGGCTAGGTTTTCATGTCCCTGCTGCTGGTTCTGAATAATTCCTGACTGTCCACCTCTGTTTCAACAGTCTCCTTGTGTATGTGCATCTTTATTATAAGAGGTCTTGACGCTTATTTCAGAAGTAGGGAGTATAGAGTATAAATATAATTAACAAATCATTCCCATCCCTGTTTTTTTTAGGACGGCTATTTTTTTTTTTCCATTTGTAGCTGTTGGAAAGTGCTTCTTTGTCTTTCTTTTTTACCAAATCTTAATTTTAAGAAAAACAGCTTTATTGAGATATAATTCACATACCGTACAATTCACCCATTTAAAGTATAACATTCACTGGTTTTTAGTGTATTCACAGAATTGTGCACCCACCATTCTCCTCCCCCCAGAAAGGAGCCCCGATTCTCATTAGCAGTCCACCCCTCTCCCCATTTCTTCTCAGTCCACTCAGCCTTAGGCATCCACTAATCTGCTTTCTGTTTCTATAAATTGACCGAATCTGGGCATTTCATATAAATAAAATTCTGTGATGTGGAACATTTTGTGTCTGGCTTCTTTCACTTAGTGTGCTGTTTTGAAAGTTCATCCTTGCCGGAGCAGGGTATCCATACTTCATTCTTATTTGTTGCTGAATATTTCATCAAATGGATATGCCACATTTTGATTTTTCATTCATAAGGTTATGGAAATTTGGGTCGTTTCCACTTTTTGACTCTTGTAAATAATAGTGTTTTAAACATTTATGTGCAAGTGTTTGAGTGGAGATATGTTTTCATTTCTCTTGGGTTCTGTGGCCACTCTATGTTTAACCTTTTGAGGAACCTCCAGACTGTTTTCCAGAGTAGCCAAACCATTTTTCACTCCTCTTGCCAGCAGCGTCTGAGGGTTCCAGTTTCCCCACATCCTCACTGGTAGTTCTTATTCTCTTTTTGCCTGCAGCTGTCTTAGTGGGTGTCAGGGTATCAGACCTTGACCTAAGAGACACAAGTAGTGGGGGCGCCTGGGTGGCTCAGTCGGTTAAGCGTCCGACTCTTGGTTTCAGCTCAGGTTGTGAGATTGGGCCCCACACTGGGCTCCATGCTCAGCATAGACTCTGCTTAAGACTCTCTCCCTCTGCCCCTTCCCTCTGCACTCGCTCACTCTCTCTAAAATAAATAAATCTTTTTTTTAATAAAAGAAACGAGTAGTGTTCACATTGACTGAAAACATATGGTAGACTCACTCTCCTGTCAAGTAGAACCACAGAAATTTGAGAATATATCAGATTTTCAGATCCAGACAGGAAGCTACCTGGTTCTCTGATGCTGTTGGATTTCTTTCCTCTTGTTGCAGGTGGTGGTTACCAATACGATTCCACATGAAATCCAGAAGCTCCAGTGCCCCAAAATTAAAACTGTGGATATCAGCATGATCCTCTCAGAAGCCATCCGTCGGATTCACAATGGGGAGTCCATGTCCTACCTTTTCAGAAATATAGGTTTAGATGACTGAACAGCTTTCCTTTCTTTAAACTCCCAAGGGCCAAACTGGAAGCAGAGAGTACTGTGAGGGGTCACGCCTGATTCAATGTACTTCCCAGGGGCCGTCTGTGCTTTGTTCCTTCCTTTTTGTTAATTCCTACGAAGATAGACCAACTTTTTATGTCGGTTTAGGTGTTTGTGAGTTTTTTGGGCGATTTTTATAAAAGAGAAACTATATTCTCCTCCTAAATGAATTAACAACCCTAGTTGTTTGTAGCTTAACTATTTCAACAATAACCTGGAATAAGACTTTTAAGCCCACAGACAGCCTTTTTCCAAAGTTGCTGGAGCCCAAGTGCTTAAAAAAGTTCATGAAATCAAATGATCTATACTGTGTCATACCTGCAACTGAAAAGCCAAAAAGATGATACTGTCGAATCCCAGCAAATGACATTTTTAGAAACGCTTTTATAGACACGCATATGTGGACAATTATTATGCGACCATTATTTATTTTCTGCAACAAAAGAAGGAATAAAAAACTTAATGCTGTGTGTGTGTTTTTTAAACTTTGTGTTTGGGCAATTTTGTAACTAAAATAAAATGAACGCTGAATACACTGTGTGTATTCACTGCTGTGAATGTTGGAGTGTTGGGTCCGCTAGTTGGGTTTTCTCTTCTGCAGCCTGTCATGGTGCACAGTAGTCTCTCAGGGATGTAACGTTTCCTGTTCTGTTTGTCCAGGACCTGCACGTTTCTGATCGTAATCACTTGGCTGTGGGAGGAGAGGAATTCGAGTCGCAGGCTGTGAGCCCCGGGGGGCAGGTCAGCGAGTTGGCGTGAGCTGCCGCCTGCATCTTGGCATGGCTTTGTTCTGCTCCCTGTTCAACAGCACAGCCATGCTCTGAACAAAATGCTACCTCTGCATGCTCTGGAAGATGAGATGCTGGGGCGGGGGTGGTCGCAGAGGGCAAGTGATACGACCCTTGTTAATGTCAGGCATTGAAGAACTGTCTGCCCCGCAGTTCAGAGTGCAGAACTCAGAACTTGTCCATGAGAGTTGTAGCAGGCTCTGGAACACGGGGGTCCAATGAGTTAGACCAGCATGTTCTCCTGCCAAGGTCATCTAATGGCAGTCCCATCAAATTCATGGAGGAAAAGATTAATGACATTCTCACAAAGAAAAGGATTATTCGTTTACTTTTTGTTTCAAGTAAACTTCACCCCCAATGTGGGTCTTGAACTCATGACCCCAAGATCAAGAGCCATATGCTCTACTGACTGAGCCAGCCAGGAGCCCCAGGACTATTTTTTTCTTCCAAAAACACTTAACCCTGTGGTTTCTGCCTATGTTAGAATCTGCAATTAAAATAGGTGACTTGGCACAAAATTTAAGATTGGTCACTTACTGTCTGCCATATCCAGGTTTCTTCGTGCTCCCAAGAGAGCAGCCTGACTCTGAGGGACTTGCTGTGGAGTGGGTCTGGGGCCTTGTGTGTGCAGAAGCACCGAGGGCTGTGCTTCCGGCAGCTGCCCCGGGTACGAGACGGTCTACTGCTCATCTCTCTGTGCTCATCGCACGCAGCAGTGTCCAGACCCCTCCTGACTCGCTGTCTCAGCCAAACAGCCTGTGATGGTGCATGAGAGGAAGGCATATTTTGTTAATTACCTAAAGTAATGCACACTGATGCTCGGATCTAATCAAAGTAGAAGCCTGCGCTGTTGACATGGGACATTAACTCTTGCTTAGAACTGTGTGACCTTAAAATGAGCTCTCTCCTTTATACGTTGTGAGCATGGTTTTCTTTGCTTTATGAAACCCTTGAAAGTAACCACATTTTCCTTTTGCTTCAAAATGAATAAGCTGGCAGATGTCTACCAAGGATGGTGGAATGGGGAACTCCAAAAGTCTCTTTCTCCATAGAAGCAGAGAATAAATTGGCAAAAACAGAATCGACTTTATTGGAACTCTAGAAAATAGAAGTTTACAGCAACTAAGTAAATGGTCAGTAAAAAAACAAAACAACAATAAAGAAAAATGGCTGAATCTTGAAAAGATTGCTTTGTGGCACTTTAACTTACCCTGGTCCCATTCATTTTGTGCTTCCTGGCAGCCTTGAAGACAATAGCCTGCATTCCTGGTACATGTTCCTTGTACCAATGGGAGTAGAATACTGTTCTCAAAGAATTACGGTTATTTGTTTGGACCTGTCTACTGGCTCCTTGAAGAACTGGCTCAAAGGACTTGCCTTTATTTTATGCAACTCAGAACTCTTCAGAGCAGAGGGACAACTCTTAAGTTTAAAGGCAGATGTATTAGCCACTCTTCTTGGGACAAACACTGAAACCATTAAAATCTTGGGAGGAAAGGCTAAGGAATGAGACACTTCACGGGGAAAGGGCTTTGAAAATCTCCCACATGAATGGGAGCGGGATATGAAGGGTGTGGGATTGCACAGAGTTGAGGACATGCTCAGAAAAGACTCAAGAAAGCTTTAAGTTCTCACCTCTGGCAGATTTGCAGGCTCTGTGCAAGCAAGAAGTGAGGGCTAAAGCAGAGTTGTAATCTGCCCAGCTGAGTGTTGAAGGCATGTCGTGAGACATGCAGCTCATCTGCAGACGGTTATTTTTCCTCCCTCCTTCCCTCCCTCCCTTTCACCCTTTCTCTCTCTCTCTTTTTTTTTTTCTTTTTTCTTTTCTTTGTTTTCAGGCTTAAGGAAGCCTGTGATGACTCACATTCAGTTGGCCAAACAGAGATTTCAGTTACCATACACAAAAAGAATACAGACTACAAAAATTAGTTCAGAAAAGCCGCTGAACAGACAACTACAAGCAGCAACAAACCCTGGGGAAGGAGGAGAATCTGGTTTCCAGACTTCCCACATTATAATATTAAAAATGCCCGGTTTTCAACAAAAAAAAATTCTGGGCCCACACACAGGAAAAAAAACTTAATAGAAACCATCCTTGAGAAGGTGCATACATTAGATTTACTAAAGACTTTAAGTCAATGGTTATACATATGGCCAAAGAGCTAAAGGAAACCATGAGAAGGTTGGCTCACTAAATAGAGAATATCAATAAGAAATAATAAAAATGAACCAAACAAGATTTGGGGAAGACAGTGGAGTGGGAAGCACCAGGAATCTGTCTCTCCACCTAGACAATTGCTGTGGTAAGATTTGATGGTTTTGAGACTCCAGAGTCTATCGAGGGTTTGCAACCTCCAGGCGGAGTCTTGGGCAGTAAATTGTTAATTTTGGTCAAATTCAGCTCTTAGTACAGTTGCAGATCTCTGACCCCCATACACGCACTCCCAGACTGGTGGCAGGCAGCCGTACCCGTGTTCCTGAAGCCACCTGCACAGCTTGTGGGTGCTGGGGTGAGCAAAAAGGACTCCGTCCTCCAAATAGTGGAGATCTGTGCTCTGACAGCTGGTTGCTGCTTCTGATCACGGAGGTGTAGACAAAGAGGCTGGGAGCTATTGTGATTGCACTTCCTTCATTTGTTGCAAGCCCTCCTCCTCCAGCTGATGAGAATTCTGGGAGATTTAAAGGCTGGTCTCCTTATTCCCAACCTGCACCTCCAATTTTCTCCTTTTCCCTCTTTGGGAGCCAGACATTAAAGATTAGGACTCCTAATTCAAAAACAACTGCATATACAGGGAAAATTAGAAAGTTACTGCACATGCTCAGAGGATATGCAGACTCAGAATAGAACTGAAGAGACCCTAAGCTCATCCCTCAGGTTGATCCTTGGCACAGAGACAGCCTACAACAGCAACTACTACTACTATGACTTTAATGAATACTGGGGAAGGGAGAGAAACCAATTTCCAGGGTTACCACATGATTAGATTCAAAAATCCAGCTTTTAATTAAAAAGAAAAAAAAAAGCATGTAAAGAAACAGGAAAGTATGGTCCATTCAAAGGGAAAAAATCAACAGAAATTGATTTCTGAAAAAGAACTGATGGTAGATCTGCTAGACAGACTTTAAAGCAACTGTCTAAAAGGTGCTCAAAAAACTAAAAACAAACCCAAAACAAAACAAAAAACAGATGTGGAGAACAAGAAAATAATGTATGAACAAAGCAGGATATCAATAAGCAGAAAACCTAAAAAGAAACCCAAAGAAATTCTAAAAAGTACAACTAAAATGAAAAATTCCCTAGAGGGATTCAAAGGCACATTTGAACAGGCAGAAGAATCAGTGAACTTAAGAAAATGAAACTAAATCTGAGGGACAGAAAGAAGATTGAACAAAAGGAAACAGAGCCTAAGGGGCCTGTGCGACTCCATTAAGTGGATCAACATACACATTGTGGGAGACCTCCTCCAGAAGGAGAAGAGAGGGGAAAGGGGTAGAGAGAATATCTGAATAAACAATGGCTGAAAACATCAACATTTTATGAAATACATGAATATAAACATCGAAGAAGCTCAATAAACTCCAAGTAAGATGAACTCAGGATCACTCACACCAAGACACATTATAATCAAACTTTAAGAAGTCAGACAAAGAATCTTGAAAACAGCAAGAGAGAAAAGATGAGTCTGTAACATACAAGGGATTCTCAGTAAGATTATCAGATTTCTTATTGGAACTTTGGAGTTCAGAAAATGGTGGACTCAAGAATTCAAAGTGCTAAAAGAAACAAAAGATGTCAACCAAGAATTTTATATTTGACAAACTGTCCTTGAAAAGTGAGGGAGAAATTGAGACAATCCTGGGTAAACAAACACTGACGGAGTTCATTACCACTAAACCTGGTCTGCAAGAAATGCTCAGAGGAGTGCTCCAAGGTGAAATGAAAGAACACTAGATAGTAACTTGAAGCTGTATGAAAAAACTATAAAGATCTCAATAAAGGCAAATACACAAGTAATTATAAAAGTTACTATTATTGTAACAATGGCTTCTCTTTTCTACATAATTTAAGAGATATATTTTACAAATTATTAGTCTAAAAGCTAGTATTATTACAACATTAGTGTGTAACTTTGTTTTTGTTTTGTACATAAGAGGCTAATGCATTTAAAAGATTATGTTTTGTGGAACAAAATGAATAAAGATTTAATTTTATAACAACTGAAAAGGGGTGTAAACAAAGTTGTCAAAGAAGCAGAGTTTTTGTAGTTATTGAAGTTAAGCTGGTATAAATTGAAATTAGGGTGTCATAATCTTAGAATATTAAGTATAATCCCAAAGATAACCATGAAGAAAATAGTCATAGAATATATATCAAAGGAAATTGGAAATGAATTTCAATGTTTTACTACAAAAAAATAAACTAAGCACAAAAGAAGGAAATGAGGGACAGTTGTTAGGCATCTGCCTTCAGCTCAGGTCATGATCCCAGGGTCCTGGGATCAAGCCCCGCATCAGGCTCCCTGCTTGGCGGGGGGCCTGCTTCTCCCTCCCCCACTCCCCCTGCTTGTGTTCCCTCTCTCGCTGTGTCTCTCTCTGTCAAATAAAATCTTTAAAAAATAAATAAAAATAAAACAACTCCCAATAGAGAAAAGCCCAGGATCTGATGGTTTCACTGGTGAATTCTCCCCAACATTCAAAGAATGCCCCAAAGACTGTGCCCCAGTCTGAGGCACCTGGCTGGCTCAGTCGGTGGAGCATGCAACTTTTGATCTTGGGGTTGTAAATTCAAGCCCCACGTTGGGTGTAGAGATTAGTCAAAAAATAAAATAATAAAAAAAGAAACAATACCAGTATTTTTCAAACTTTCCCCCAAAAATGTAAGAGGAAAGAATAATTTATAACTCATTCTATGAGGCAGACTTACCCTGATAACAAAGCCAGACAAAGACACTATAAGAAAACTATAGATCAATATCCCTTATGAATATTGATGCAAAAACATCAACAAAATACTAGAAAACTGGTTTTCAGCAGCATATTAAAAAGATTATAGACTTTAACCAAGTGAGATGGTTAGACATATGAAAACTGGTCAGTGTAATACACCATATTAAGAGAATGAAGAAAAATAACCACATGATCATCTCACTGCAGAAAATGTGTTTGAAAAAATGGTAACTTTTATGATAAAAACACTCAGAAAATTAGGAATACTAGAAAGAAATTACCACAACATTTTTAAAAAACCATGGATGAAAAATCTCCAGTGACCATCATACTCAACGGTGAAAGACGAAACTTTTTTCTAAGATTAATGACAAGGCAAGGATGCTCCTTTCACCACTTCTATTCAATGTATTGCTGAAAGTTCTAACCAGAGCAAGCAAATGAATGAATGAATGAATGAATGAATGAGTGGCATCCAAACTGAAAAGGAAGAAATAAAACTGTCTCTCTTTGCAGCTGATATGGTCTTATATTTAGAAAACCCTGAAGATTACACATGCGTGCACGTGCGTGCATGTGCGCACACGTGCACACGCGCGCACACACACACACACACCATCTGTTAGAACTAAGAAATGAATTTAGGAAAATAGCAGGATACAAAGTCAACTTGCAAAAATCAGTTGCATTTCTCAGCACTAACAATGGACAACCTGAAAGGGAAATGGAAAAAATGGTTCCATTTACAATAGCATCAAAAAGAATAAAATACTTAGGAATTAATTTAACCAAGGAGATGAAAGACTTGTACAATAAAAAACTACAAGGGGCACCTGGGTGGCTCAGTTGGTTAAGCATTCAACTCTTGATTTCAGCTCAGGTCATAATCTCAGGGTTGTGGTCCAGCTCTGCGCTCAGCACAATAAAGTGAAGTATGCCTCTACATTTATCACTAATCCAAGTCCACTTTTAAATAAAAGTGTACTGTCACAAATAGTTTGATTACCTTATAATAAAATAATCCCACTTCTTCTTTCCCCTCCTTATATCATTGCTGTTATTAACTTCATTTATACACAAGATACACATACCAAATACATTGTTGCTGTTATTATTTTGAACAGATTGTTATCTATTAGATCAATTAAAAATAAGAAAGATAAGTTTTTATTTTACCTTCACTTATTCCCTTTTTTAATGCTCTTCTGTTTTTTATGGAGATCTGAGTTTCTGACCT